GATGGAATGACAATAAAGAAACTTTGACTTTGAAAATCTGTTTGAATTTTTAATTAACTACTTGAAGTCCATCCATCCATTATCTTTACCCACTTCTTCCTTTTCGGGTCACAGGGGTCACTGTTGTCCATATTCAGCAGTCACTGTGTGAGAGGTCGGGGACTCCTTGGACATGTCTCCAGTCCATCACAGGGACGCACAGAGACAAATGAGACAAACAACCATTTCCTCTCTCGCTCACACCTAGAGACAATTTAGAGTTACCAATCAGCCTAACATGCATGTTTTTGGTCTGAGAGAGGAAATTGGAGAAAACCCACGCAGCACAGAGAGAACATGCAAACTCCACCCAGAAAGGTCCCGGGCCGGGATTTGAACCAATGACCTTCTCGCTGAGAGGCAGCAGCACCACCAACTGTGCCACGGTGCTGCCCCTATTCGAAGTCAACTCTGTTAATCTGTTAGCAAAATATCTGATGAGGCGCTGGACACATTTTTATTGAAGTCAGAAACTGAGTCTCGTATTGGCTGTGCATTTACAACTGATTACCTTTTGGAGTCTCGCCAATTCAAGATGGCAGCCACAGCTTCTCCACATTACCATTCACAGATTTTACATCTCCGTCTGTTTTACAGACACTCAGATTAATTTGGTGTGGTAGTATCTGAGAGCTATCTTCAACATCTATTCTGAGCACGAAGCATGCGATGTGTGTAACAACAAGGTTTGACCAAAACCGCTATGATGTCGTCATTTCTCAACAAAACATGATTTAAAATTTAAACTCATGCATGAAAATTGTGAGGAATATGCATTTGTTTAAGGAATGATGAGATTTATTCATCCATTTATTCATTCCAGGAGCGAGACTTCAGGATAAGAATCGTGCTTCCATCAGACTTGCAGCTGAAACAAGCCAAGTACAAACATCTGCTTTGCTCTACATGTATCCTGTCATAAGGTCAGGGAGACCTTAGTGTGTAACTCTTCCTAACTTTGTTCCCTCAGGCTCTTCTGCTGTTGGCAGTTAAAACACCTGTTGAGGGAATATGAGCACATAGTGAAGCAGGTAAGTGTTTAATGGAGATGTTCCATCTCTGTTGTTTGTTTATCTCCGTGTCGTTGTGCCTGGTGACCTCGTTCCCCTCTCTGTCGCTTGTCCCATCGGCCTCACTCTGAAGCTGAAAATATATTTCACTGTTTAATTACCGTCACCTGGAAAATGTCCCTATTTGTTATGTGGCCCCTCTGGGTTCTTTGGATGAGATTGATATTTCACCCTGGGCTGCAGAGTTCATTATTTTCGCAGCCTTTAAGCTATCATTAATTATTTAAGCGGGTGGCAGCCCACATTAATCACAAACACTGTGTTTGATTTGAATGGCTGGCTAAAAAAAATAGACGCTGTCACTTCATTATCCCTTCGTTCAAGGATGTCTTTTGTCTGCCATGTGACTTTTCAGAGGCTGCAGCAGTCGGCTGATCTCTTCAGTTTCATTCTGGAGCTGAAGACCGTTTTGGTGAGAAAGCTTAAATCATGAAGGACGTATTCGCGCGCCGATGCTGTTAAATGAAAAGTCTTTTACCCCGACTCAGTTTAGCTGAAGTTGTGTTGAAGTTGGGGTGTGATTTTTGCAGGAAGTGTGCTTGAAGAGCCGACCTGAGTGCCGCTCCATGCCCCCCCCTCAGTATTATACTCAGCTCATCTCAGAGATGGAGACCCTCGGATGGGACAAGTAAGTAACAGGTTCACAGGTTGTTTTAATTGAATAGCACCGATTCAGAACAAAAGCCATGTCAGTGCACCATAAAAACATGTCTAAATCCAATTCGAATTCTGATTTGAACCCAATTATAGTCAATCCAGTTCAAATAGAACACAAAACAATTACATACAGTACATTATAAAATGTCTTTTAGTAAAGGTTATCTCTGTAAAGAGGCCAGCAGGTTGGCACAATCACAGCTGTCTATGCCTTTAGCAGCAAAATGAATGGCCGGTGCTGCAAACATGTCAGAAGCGTCTAACCCTAACCCATCATCTTATACTTATCGATATATATTAAAAAAAATAAAAATTTTATATATATATATATATATATATATATATATATATATACACACACACACATATACATATTGCGGTTTCTAGTTTTTATATTGCTTAAAAGTATGCTGTAGTTTCTTCTAATGACTGAGGTGGCTGGTTTACATTTTTATATGAGGTGGAGTGGCCAATTTTAGAATAACCTATGGTGGTCATGGCCACCATTAGTCACCCCCTGGCTCCACCATTGCACCTTATGGTGGATACACTTGCTCCCTTCACTCACCAGGATCCCTCAATCTGTGCCACCTCTCTTCTTCTACACAGTGTAATTCCTACCCACTTGAATTTCTTGCACCTAAAACATTAAGGTTTACTCAGCCTATCAACATTTTCTAAGAGAGCCCTTTCCTACAGCCAAAAGGTGCACAAAGTGCTGCACAATCCGTCCATCCATTATCTTTTACCCGCTTCTTCCATTTTGGGTCACGGGGGTCGCCGATGTCCATGTCCAGCAATAACTGTGCGAGAGGCGGGGTACACCCTGGACGGGTCGCAAGTCCATCATGGGGTGCTGCACAATACAAAAGTTAAAAACAAGCGATAATGAAATAATACAACAATGCTGGACAGCCTCGAGGCATTAAAAGCCTGTCTGAATAAAAAGGTTTGAAGATTAGATTTGAAAGGCCCAGATCAGTGATGGAGTGCAAGTCCTGAAGTAGTTGGTTGCAGAGTCTGGGTCTGGCGACCGAAAAGGCCCGGTTACCCCAACCTTTATATTTAGGCTTTGTATTGAAATAGTTTATTTTATACTCTCATAAAGTTACTAGATCAGGTGAATAAGATGTTTCGGGACCGTTAAGTAACCTCTAGGTGTAGAAAACATTACAGTCAAAAGATTTGTTTCTGATTTAATCCAAGCGAAAAGGAAGTGGTGGGTGAAAGATAATGGATGGATGGATAATTAAGAATAAATAGTTAATTTTTTAATTTGCTAAATTTCTGAATTGTTTTAGCAGGAGCTTCAAAGATAGCATGCAGCCATGATTAGTGCTCAAGAATTCTGGAGTCCACACTCTGTGTGGGATCAGAAAACCATTTTGAATTCTAAAGAAAGTGACTTCCTCCCATGCTCCCTGGACACTGTGGAAGTGTTCTGCCTGTGGAATTGATATTTCATTCCAATATCAATGCTGTGTTTGTCTTTAAAAAGACTTTGTCACTGCTGTGATTCCCCCTTCACTCCTTCTAAACGGTTATAAAAGATGAAACTGTAAGTCTCACATCTGCCTGCAGTCTGGAGCAGTTTAATCTGAAAATGTCAGAATGTATATTTGAACTTATCTATTTATTTCTGGAGGTAAGAATAATTTACCTTCTTGCGCTCCATGTGCCCAAATGGAGCAATCCCTTTTTTTTGGTCTCCTTCAGTCTACAACAACATGGCTTCATGTTAATAAATTGTTCTTAATGGTGTCCTAATTTTACTTATTGAGTTGTAGTTAAATCCAGGTCACATTTATTAAAGCTCAGCTCCAGTGCCGCTGTAGAACCAGCTAATACCAGGAAGATACTGTATCTGTTCTCCCCCAGCTCAGATTAAACTTAAACCACTACACTCATTTTCCACTCTCCTATTAATGACCATAACTGCAATTATGATATTAGCAAAATGCAAATGGCTCTAATTGAAGACTCTCAGGTTTTAATGGGGGTGGGGGGTTGAAGGTATGCTTTATGCTGGAAATGGGACCAACATCATTTTCAGTGTGGTGTTACGGTTAGAAAGCATTATACACAGCGGGCCTCAATCTCCAAAGCACTCGAGATTCGCTTAGCGTCTTAATTGGTATGTGCCATGCTAATAGCCACTGGGGGGTTTAAATGTAATTCTATCTGCTGATTGGGCCAAGTCAGTGAGTCCTCTCTCCCTCTCCATGTGTCTCCATTTGGCAGTTTAGAGTGTGGTCATCCAAACAAACTGGAGACGGCAAATCTGTGGCAACAAATGCATTAATTAAGGGAAAATGAGGTCACGTTGGTGAGCCCTTATTACTCTGTTCCCCCATGAAAATATGTGGCCCCAGTGAGTCTGGGGATCATCAGCTGGTCTTTAGTGTTCATAGCTTCCTGGTGAACATGTCGAGCGTTGTGTGTTCTTATGGAAGTTGTGTCGCTAAAACACTGCGGCTGCTGTTCAGGGACTGCTGCTGACAGAAGGGCTCTGCTGGGCTTTCCACGACTGAACGACTGGATTTAACATTAGCTATGATTTTTCCACATTGTAGGTCCAGCTTATTAATAATAACTCTTCTAGCTAGTTAATAAAAAGGCAATGATAGAATAGAATAGACCTTTATTGTCATTGCACCTGAGTACAACGGAATTTGGGTTTGCTTCCCAGAGCAAACGTAAGAACAGTGTAATATAAAACAAACAAACAAAAATATTATCCTTCAGAAGAGGGTCTTTCTCTTCTGTCAACTTTAATACGGCTCAAACCACAACCTGTACATACACAAATGTTATATCAAACTGGTGTTTGGTGTTTCCAGTTACCATGCAGTGTCTCCCGCAGATAACTTGCCATGGCAGGGCGCTCCTCTCGTCTGGGACATTTGTCAACGGGGGGTATTCAGCGTGAGGGAATGCTGCCTTTAGCCTGTTAGCTAGTGCGGCTGTATTGCGATCTGCTAGCTTAGTGCTATGTTGGTGCCGACGGGTGGGGGTGGCAGGATGCGCACAGCTGGTTTGGTAGGCGGGGCGCTCGGTTCTGTTGACGGGGCGGGGCACCCTGCTTGTATAATGGTAAGGGAAACACTGCCATGGCAACGTAATTTGCAAACAAATATGTCATTTTTCTCATTGAAACAATCAGCCATTTTTATAGATATTAAACTAAAATTAGTTGTGGTGGTAGCTGAGAGCAATGCCCCATAAATACTGAATAATAAAAATTAAAAAAATTCAAGATGGTCACTAAAGCTAAATTTAAATGGCTTTAACTCAGCTATTTTACACATGGAGCTGAAGTTGTGTGTGGTGATAGAAGAGAACGTTCCCCATCATATACTGAATACAAATCAAAAATCCAAATGGCTTAAAAGAAAAAAAAATACTGTAAGTCATTGATTTTTTTGTCACATTGAGCTGAAATTTGGTATGATGCTAGCTGAGAGCAAACCCCAACACATAGTACTGTCAAATCAAACATTTTAAATGGACACGGTGGCAGTCCCCGTCAAAGTTTCTCCAGGAACTTCCTAGTTACAGCTTTTGTTAAGTTCAGTAAAAGCTGACGGATAAAAACTATTTTTCAATCAGTTTGTTCTTGTCTTAATTGATCTGTACCATTTCCATGATGGTAACAGTTCAAACAGATCATGTCCAGGGTGAAATGTGTCCTTTAAGATGTTGTGGGCTTTTCCTATGCAGCAGGAACTGTGTAGATCTTCTAGTGAGTGAAAAAGGCAGCCCGCGATCTTCTGAGCTGTGTTCAGAATCAGTTTATTATTGCCATGTCAATGAACGAGGTTCACAAACTAGGAATTTGCTTCGACATAAGGTGTGAATAGTAATAAAGTAAAATAAAGTAAAAATGAGAACATTACATAAGACATAAGACCGGTGTACACCCACAAATAAAGTAAAATTAAAAACATAACATAACCATATGTACACCCATACAATAGAAAACAATAAAAAAGCTTAGAGAACAGTACAGATGGAGTATTCAATTATAATACAGATGTAATGTGACCAAAGCAGAAATTATGAGGTAGCATTATGAGTGTTCAGGAGTCCAACAGCAGAGGGGAAGAAACTGTTCTTATGGCGGGAGGTTCTGGTCCTTATGGACCGAAGCCTCCTGCCTGAGGGGAGTGGTTCAAACCTGTGATCCGACCGCTCGCCTCACAGTCCTGGAGACGTACAGGTCGTGGAGGGATGGAAGGCTGCAGCCGATCACCTTCTCAGCTGAGCGCACAACGCGCTGCAGTCTGAGTCTGTCCCTGGCAGTGGCCCCGGCGTACCACACCGTGATGGAGGGGCTGAGGATGGACTCGATGATGGCCGTGTAGAACTGCACCATCAGCTTGGCCGGCAGCTTGGCCTTCTTCAGCTGTCGCAGGAAGTACAGTCTCTGCTGGGCCTTCTTGATGAGGGAGCTGATGGTCGGCTCCCACTTGAGGTCCTGGGTGATGGTGGTGCCGAGGAACCGATAAGAGTTTGCAGTGGTGATGGGGGTATCATTACAGGTGAGGGGGGGCAGAGGGGCTGTGGCTTTCCTGAAATCCACAATCATCTCCACTGTCTTCTGGGCATTGAGTTCCAGGTTGTTGCTGCTGCACCAGGTCACCAGCCGGTCCACCTCCCTCCTGTATGCAGACTCATCACCGTCCGAGATGAGCCCGATGAGGGTGGTGTCATCTGCAAACTTAATAAGTTTCACAGAGTCATGGCTGGAGGTGCAGCAGTTGGTGTGCAGGGGGGAAAGCACACAGCCCTGTGGAGATCCTGTGCTTACAGTCTGAGTGTCCGAGACAGCTCGGACACTCTGTGGCAACTCGGTTAGCAACACTCGGTGTTGCTAACTCTCTGGAGCGCTGTCCTCTGAGCCACTGTGCATCTAAGATACCACACATTGATGCAGTATGTTAAGTAGGGGTGCACTGATAAATCGGCCCC